ACTTTTTCCTACCTATCATTGTGTACAAAGTAAAAATACACGTCAAACTTAATGAAGAAGTTAAAACTCTATAAAAAATACAATAATCAAAAATAGAATATTATTTAATTAATTAAATTAAATTTAATTAAGTTTTGTATGATGTTTAGCTGATAGGCATGGACACACAGATTATAACTTTACACTTTGATCAGACAAGATTAATGCATTAAGCCTAGAACTATCTATCAATTCCTATACAAGTAATAGTTTATCAGTATTTCTCAAGTACCTATCTGTGAACTGATACTTGTCCATGAGAGTTCACAAAAACTGACAGAATATTCAAATGTAAATCCTAATGTTTCTTGTTAAACTTGATTTTTAATGGTCCACAACAGTTTAGAGAGTAGCAAATTGGTCCCTGGTATTGAAGAAAAGTTTGAGAAACATTGGTTTATCAAACAAAAATTTATCATAAATCTTAAGTTTGTTAGATTTCATGCACAACTAGATGAGAACTATCTACATTAGCCACCTCTAATTTTGAAGTAACAGACTAAAGGAAGCACTTAGCCCCCACCACCAAATCTTGTCAGAATAGTAGGATATCAACCATGGGACCTCAGTTCCAGAGTCTGGCATGCTACTGAGCCACTCTCAGCCCAAATTTTAAGATATGAATTAAATTAACAACTAAGTTTACAATTATAAAAAATTCTTTGATAAATTTAATTGTTGTAAGTGTTAACATCATAGTGTTGAGATATTGTCCATGTTTACTTATGGAACTCAGATAAATAATAATCTCTTCAATTTTTTTATCATTTATTTACTGTATACTTAGGATACTTTTATATTTAATTAAAACAATGACAAATAAAAATAAATGAGCAATACAAGGAATTTATCAATTTTATAATTGACTCTTTTATAATCATCTATTACAAGCTGTAAACTACTAAAATAGTTTTAACAAAATTTATTTTAATTTACTGTAAATTTATAAAAGTGGCAGCATGCAAACAGCAAATAAAAAAAATCAATCAAACCATACTTTTTAATTAGACTTTTTTCTATCTTATTTGGTAAGCTAGTTATTTTTTATTTTCGAACAGTTTTCATACCTGTAAATATTTAGGAAAAATAATGTGATACAACCTTTTACACACTTGCAGGATCACCGTGAGAGTCATTACACACTACTATTGTTTCTGATATTATAAAAAATCGTGTATGTCCAAAAGCTCAGTTTTACAGACTCAGAAATATAGTTTTGAAACTACAAAAAGCTAGGTCATTTGGACTACAAGGTTTTGTTAATCTGACAAATGTATTATTTTATAACTGGAAGACATATACAGTTTTCAATAAATGTGGAATGACACATTCTAGGAATATTTCCTTGTAAAACAAAAATCAGGAAGGAAACAATGGGACTTGCATGGTTTTGACATGACAGCAATGATATGAAGTTTATTTAATACTACATGACACTGTTCAAACTTTCTACACAGATCTTGAAAAATACAAGTGATTCCTTTTGAATAACGATAAAATTAAACACTCTGAACTGTAACATTCCTTAGAGTCTATGACACAATGCCTCTAGTACTTTCTCAGGTTTTACAATGTTCAACATATAATCAACTAACGCAAAAGTGGAAATTGAGTAACTTTCTTTTTTTTAAGATTTCAAAATTATTGGTAATATCATTAAACGAATATGAAGAATAATGTAAGTTAGAGCAAAAGAAGGGAGAAAATATGTTGAACCCAGTTTGTATTACATTACACAACAAACAGGTCGAAACATTCCTGAAATATCCCCTCAAAGCTTAAAATTTATCATTTATGTTGAATGCAACACTAACAATTTTGAATACCTTGCCAACAGATTTGTTTGATACTGTAATCAAACATTTGTGAAAACCATTAGTTGTGGTATTTATCAGCAATTGTTTATCTAAATCTATAAATAATCCTGATGTTTGGTTATGGAACTTGCATGTATGCATGCATATACATGTGAACACAGAACAGGATTTCTTTTAAATACAAAAAGTCTGTGATGTAATCAATCTGATAACACACATACACACACATGTAATTTAATATTCTGAGCACAGATTGACTTACCAGAAGAAAAGTGTAACCTGATATGTCAAAGTAATTACAAAATCACATGTCTGTGTTACTCTATGAATTCTGCACTTCAGTTTAATAAATTGGTTAAAAATGTATCAATAAATTTGCAAAATTAACAATAATTTGCTGCTCAAAAAATAAATCATTTATATCTTTAAAAACCAAACAAATAATATCTTTATTAATTTTCCATTTCAAAAATAAAGTCAAGATATAATTTTTTTCATCAAGAGGATTTTACATTTAACCTTTCTTAAGTTTGTATCTTAAGACATATTATAATAAACAGCATTCTTTAATTAACTTTGTCTGTTTTATTGCTGTACATGAAATAACAAACAGAAGCAATGTACGAATTTCTCAATTTACATATTATACTCTCACACAATCATCAACAATATTAAAACCAACTACAGCTCAAGTTCAAAGATGGATACATACTTTTGGTTACAAAGGATATGATGGTTTCATTTTGAATTTAGTTACTGGTTAAGTATTACATGTTACAGCTTTTACAGTGAAGATTATTTGTCAGAACAAGAATGATGTTTCGATAATTACTGCAATCATTCTCAACTATAGAAGTTTTAATGATGTTGAATGTTGATTTAAGTACTAAAACCTTCTATACCATTAAAATTTATGTACTTGAGAATGATTGTACAGTGATCGAAATGTCATACCTATTGTAACAAATAATCTTCCTTACTGTAAAATTTGTAGTTTGTAATAACATAAAGGAAATAATGATTAATTTTCCTTTTTTTTTCCAATGGGAGTTAAATACAATAAGTCATTACCCAGCACATTTACAACAAATATTAGCTACTGACAAGACAAAACTAATCTTATTGAACCACTTGGATAAATATCGTTTCTGTGATCTTGTTTTTTGAAATTATGTTTTAAAATTGTTATTCCAACCTTTTGGGTATTTCATGCACATGTTTAAAATGTTTTTAAAAACATAAGTAACAATACCAAATTCTTTGCAGTTCAACACTAACTTTAAAAATTCTGTAACATATTCTGAATACGAGTCAAAAGTGGACACAATACAATAAATAAATATGCTTTTGAGAAGCCCTGTCATTTTTTGATTATTAGGTAAGCTTTATTCCAAAGCTTTCTATATGCATCACAAGAACACACACTAATAAGTCTGCACAACCAGATACAGAAACAAACATGGTTACACAACTACATTCACCCCATTACCAAGCTAATAATGTGAACATAAATATTTGTTTCTCTTGAAAATGTTAACCTGTGTTTAGTGGCTTACTTACTGAAATATGTCTGATGCTCCTTTGCTTCTAAACCTACAAATAATATATATATTACGCAAACGCTTAGATTTAGTTTACAAATGAATATTATTATTAACCTAAATAAAAATGTTATGCTACATTTATTGTTCTATAGAATTAGGACAAGAACAGCTAACATCTATTAATTATCAAGAAATACAGCTACTGAAAAAAAAAAAGATTGTTATACACCTTAGAAACTCTTTCTTGTGGAGTGAATATACTCAAACAGTTCTGACTCATAAGTACATAGATATACAAAAAAATATCAAACTGTTAATTCTAGTTTTGTTGGACTAAATACATTATGTATCAGGTTTTAAAGTAACATACCAAGCTTTTTAATATTCATCAACAAAAATATAAAACCTGGCTTACAATAAAAAGACAACTTATCATCTATCTTGTATATACTGAAACATCATTCAATTTTACAATTTTTCACAAAAGTAATCTAGCTTCATTACTCAAGTTTAAAAAAGTTATTGAGAAAGTTATTTTGCCCTAGTGTTAACAATCACGTTAAACCTTTGAGTAGCCTCCCTGATCAATTCCACAGCATTAACATCTATTTTGTAAGTTAATAACTAGTATGTTACTGTGAACCAAATAATTTTACAATAGACTAC